TCCGTGAGGGTCATTCATGGTCCATGCGGACCCTAAAGTGCTGATAGAATGCTAGTGTTGTAGATAAAAGCGAATGGCGATTCGGGACATGGTGCAAAGCAAAAACTTTCAAATGGGATTCAATCTCCACAGCAGTTCACGTAGTGCACCCATCCATGCAACCGAAAATATTTCGGGACCCCATGATCTCTACCCACCGGGAAATGTGATACAAGGAACGGTGTCTCTTTTGGAATTGTCCCCTGTGGATGTTCACACAGACGCGATCCAACACCATGCGACTGCAGCATTAAAGTTTACACACCTTTCCATCGTGAAAAAGCACCGTGTAAGGCAAGCCCCGCACTCGGTACTTGTTCATCAGGAATTTGTGGTTGTCGCAGTCAAGCTTCACGACCTGCCGTAGATGATGGGAACCCACGCAACCACAGATGACAGACGATGAGCAACATGCATAACAGACATGTGGGGACCGTCACGGCAATTGGCAGGGGGGCATTGACACCCAGCCCGTGAGAAAACGAGAGTGTTGATGAATGACGTTCAGAGTTGCCTCAAAAACAGCGCGCTATTAATATACTGCAATGTGCTATGAAAGGAGCGTTAGACCAGAATGCTCCGGAACAAGAGCTGGAGAAAGACGCTGCCCCAGAAGCATCGCAGACTTGTTCATGCGATTCGTCTGGTGCCAACTACGCTAGGCAAGTCACTCAAAAACGTCCGAATTACTTGCTTACCTTCGCCTTCCCGTCGAACTCCTCTGCGATCTGGTCAAACACTGGCCCTTGCATAATGCACGGGCCACACCACCTGCGAGACGGACAACAGAGACGAATGGTAGGAATAGTTGGACGGACAACAGAGACGAATGGTAGGAATAGTTTGCCTCTGGTGGTCGGGACAAACGGTTCATCACCCACCCAGTTTATGACTATTCTATCGAGCAGATAAAATCTGGCAATCAAGAGGCCTATTGTTGAATTCAGCCATAGATGGCGTACTCGAGGCGTCAAGTGCCGGGCAGGTATGGAAAGAGTCGCAACAACATTTCGGGGGAGGGGGTGGATGCCTATTGAAAGCTTTGTCGGTAGTGAACAAAACGAAAATCGTCTCGCGTGCAATATCGACTGTTCGCCTCACGATATGATACAAACAACGCCCGCAGAGAGCGCAACTGGCGTCATTAGCGCAGGGTCGATCCACAGCAAGCTCGGTTGAAGTCGACAAGGCGTGTACATCATCGTTGTAGCCCCCCCCAACGCCCCGCAAACCCGAATCAACTCTTCGCAAGCCATCGTCAACAGCAGCAGCCTCCGACAGCAGCAGCAGAAGATGAGGAAGAAACGGTTAACAGATAAAGATTCTGATTTGTCCCAATAGATCGAAAAAAATCGTACGACATTGACCCAGACAGGCCGATCCTCAACGCCGACGAGATGGGGCCGAACCAACCGAGAACACTATTGAAGCCTTGGCATAACACGCGCGGGCATGTTTCAATGTTTTTATCGATTGTCTCCACGTCTTGTCCCCGGTGTCAAAAGTACTAGCACGTACTTGAAGCTCTGGAATCGTGGGGACGTAATTATGTATTTCCACTCCTCAATAATAATATGGCGTTCAATCCAGGCGAAAGACCGGCCCAACTCCCGTGGGTTTTTCTCAGAAAGGGCTACACCGTTGCCCATTAAGTCATCAATGATCTGGACTTAATCCCGGTTAGCTACCATCATGTACGGGTTACAATGGGTTATTAGAGCAAACCTCAAGCTACGACGCCTCTGTAGCAGTATTGTGTATTAATGTAATTCTCTAGTTGGCATCGACCGCTGGCCAATGAAAAGACGGTGGTCTCAAAACGGGACAAACAAAGCAAACACGCATTCTTGTCCGAGGACTCCCTCAACACTGGGGACATTGGACAACTGTCCAAGGTGCAGTATCCGGAGCCACCCAGAGTTCTTCGAATAGAAGCAAGGCATTACTGAATACCTGCTCCTCAGCCTCTGTGTCGGCCGACCCTGTCGGAGAAACCAACTCTTTTCCCCCGCCCAGTGTCGCCCACGCCGGTGTTTGCCATCGGGGTTGGGTTTTCGTCGCTTGGCAACGACGTCGTAAAACAAGCCCCCCCCTCTGTGTTTGTCATCGGGATTGGGTTTTCGTCGCTTGGCAACGACGTCGTAAAACAAGCCCCCCCCTCTGTGTTTGTCATCGGGATTGGGTTTTCGTCGCTTGGCAACGATGTCGTAAATCAAGCCGGTTCACTTCGTGAACTCGGCAATCAGGTTACTGGGTTTTCTTTTTTACCTCTGTTTCTTTTTTTGGCGGTAACCATAATGTTGGTCGAGTAGGTCATGTTGTGCGGGGTCGAAAACCCTCACTCCGCGGAAGGGGGATGATCGCACCACGTTGTGTTAAAATGGTCAAGCACCCTCGAGGCAGTTACACAGTGCTTACAACTGTCTCAGGAAGTGAAAGCACCAGAAAATAAATTAAGTCATACGCAGCTGTCATCCGTACGCAAGGAAGTAAGCACAAGATGCCGAACACCCTTAGCAGGATGCAGCGCACCCTTCATGCGACTCGCCGAATATCTCACGGCGCTTCGCGCTTGGTGATGTGAGAGCCTGGTCCGGTGAGAACCCGGCGTGCTCCGTCCCGGCTTTGTAGGGATGCGAGGTCAATGGTCTAACGACTACGGCATGCACGACTACGAGTACACGCCCCCCAGCACCTCGGCTGAGCTGAAATCTACTCTCCTAGACCGCTTCATACCGTCTAACTTCTGTGTCGAGGCAAGTGCCTTGCGTCTTGAAAACCTCCGTCAAAAACATGACGGACACGTCCGCTCGAATGCTCTTCGCCTTGAAGTGCCTTTCGTCTAGATAGTCTCCGTCAAGAACACGACGAACACGTCCGTTCGTATGCTCTTCGCCTTGAGCCAAAGGTTAAGAGCATACGCATGTTCTTGACGGGGGTTATGTAGACGCAAGGCACTTTCCTCGACAGTTAGACCCGTGGTATGAGGCGGTCTACGAGAGCAGATTTCAGCTCAGCCCAGGTGCTGGGCGGGGGGAAAGACTTCTCACATAATCGTGTATGTAGCACAACTGCTGTAGCATCGACGGCGCTGATGGCTGACCAATGAAAAGACGTCGGTCTCAGGGCGTTTGAATCAGTGCGGCTGAAAACATCATTCGTGTTTGGAAAATCCATGATCTGGGACTCCGGAAGGGGCCGGCTGTGTGGGTGCTTGTGTTCCACTAAGTAGCATCAACCGCCAACCGGTCGACCAAGAAACAGAGAGAGGTCGAGTCAGCGGGAAAATCAAGTCCGCGGAACGGCGCCAACATTCGACGAACGGGCGTCACCGATATAGTCTAGTCTAGATCGCAAAATCTAGAATCGAGAGCTGCGTGCGAGCCCTTGCTGCAAGAATCAGGATGTTTCTCTCTTGGTGTGACCGGTGGCAATATCGATCAGCAATGCCGCACAGACTTTTGCGCGCCGAAATATGCGTGCGACAGCTTTAACCTAACCACTTCGGTGGAAAGCGGATTTCTGTTCAATACGGTGTCAGGGGTACCAGGGAAGACGGGGCCGAGTTTTGTTTGATTTCGGGTGGATGAGGTTGGGGTTTTGTTCGTTTTTCTCCATCTAAGATTCGTGCCTAGAGTTCAGCTGTAGTGTTTCGACAAAAGTTTTGTTGACTTAGAGGCAAACATTCCTAGCTATTGGGCATCGAGTTAATTTGGCTTGGCATGACGGCCTTTACGATCGACTTTTTATGTATGTCTGCATTTATCTGCAATTGTCGGAGGGCAAATCGTTTGGTACAGTTGTTTGTGTTCCTTTATAAGTAGCACCGACCGCGCTCCTTCGCCTGTCAAAAAAAGTTGTCAGTCTCTGCCAAAAAAGAAAAGAGATTAGAACCCGACATGAACAGATCAACACACTACGCATACGTCTGCTGCGTATACAACCAAGAGACTTCGTGTCCGCGGGGTCCCCCATCATGGAGGCAGAGAAGACTGGATAAATGAGCAGACAGCAGCCTCCGCCTTTGAAGTACCCGCCAAAGGCAAAACCTAGCACCTCTTGCTGCCAAGTTACGGTATGGTGTACGTCTCTCTTGCATTTCGCTGCATTTACATTCACCATGTGAGGCAGCAGATAGACGTGGTGGATGGGGACGGGAACGTGTGCAAGTGGGAATTTCATGCGTTAGGTACTCACTTCGCGTGGAAGTAGACCAACGTGGGTAACTCCTGATTTACCACAGCATCGTCGAAAGCAACCACAGCCTCTTCTTGTGGTACCTTGGGTAGCTCGAATGGCACGCTCATCATCCTAGCACTTGATGAGGCTCCTCGTTGAAGCTGCCACGCAGAAATGAACAGATACAACAACAAGGTCGACTGACTGCACATGACGCGGCTTGAATGATTTCTGACATCACATGACATGTACAACAAACTGTTGTAGACGTGCGCAAGGGTTGTGATATGTTCCATCCGGCCTCTCTCTATCCCTGCAGTGTGCGTCATGCGTTGCATCACATGTGGAAGAAAGGCAATAACTGATGCAGTGATGCACGGAGGCTACGGGCTTTTCATGTGTCCGTCATCAAAGAGTTGATGATGTCATCAGTGTTGACGTGGACACCCTCACCGATGCCAAGGATGCCGGCAGCACCCCAACAAACGCTGAAACGTAAAGAGGGGCAATAAAGAGAAGGGCCAGGAAGACTCTTGGAGGGGCCATGATGAGGTTGGATTGCTTCAGAAGACTCGAGACGTTTGTGTGAGCGGTGAGCGTCCAGTTAGGAGCTGTCCCAGCAGCCAGCACCTTGAGCACACGCACGAGGGGCGCAAAGGATGGGACACATGGAACAAATAGGGGTATGCTCGACTGTGGGGGGCTGCACAGACAAGCATGTATTTTTTTCAAATTTGAATTCGCCAGCTGATGAGATGATCGCATGTCATTGCAGTTTCGCGGCGTGCACCAACTACTCACATCGACGAGCCATATCTTATCGGGTAGATTCCTTGAATCGGGGAAATTCGACGGGCCGCAGCGTGTGGGACACGCCGTCGTTCAACGAGTATACAGTGGGTCACAAATCAAGGATCCGTTCGGTGCTGTGCGCGGCGGGATCAGGTCAGGCTAGCAGGCTAGCGGATTCTTCAGCAGAGCGATTACCGCGTACAACACACTTTTCAACCAGCCCATTCCAGCAGGGCGCTCACCCCACGCATTATATGACCATGACGGTGGTTGATTTAGTGGCCTTGGCTTGAGTTCAGGCGACCCGGTAGATCCGCGGGAAGCGGGCCAATTTTCTCTGCTGCGCAGCAAGCTCCAAAGCTCAGTTTCGTCATCATCTTGCACCTCCAACGTCAAGTTGCTACCGACGTCCAGAGTGCAGAGGCTGCAGCCAGCTGGGGAAGTGCATCAAATGAACCAATCTACCCGATGAGATAGCGAGCGGTGATATCCGGAGTGACTTCCACCGGCGGATCGTGTGATGTTTTTAGTAGACTGCTGATGCCAGAAAAAATACAAAAATAAAAACAGGCGTCTCGAGTAGTTTGAGTTCACATCAACAACCAAGTTTGATCGTACCGTTGCTGAACGTGCCACCTCGGACGTACGAAGTAGCTTTTTTAAGCTTTAACGCGAAGTTGGCAATGAGCGGGTTCACCGTTTGCCGCCAATGATACTACGGAAGTATCGCCGAAGAATCATTTCCTATTTCCCAACACAAACAACATCTGTTGGCAGTTGGCAGTACGCCTAAACACGACGATACTGCCTGCAGTATGTCCCAACGCGTCGTGTTATTCTTGAACGTTTACCAGTTGGAAATCCCATGTTTTTGAACTACTTTCCCGTTTCGTTTCCGTTCTCGAAACCACCACTTGTGTTTCCCCTGACTTCTCAGAGATCAGAGCCTTTCGGGCTGTTGCCTTGAAAGTCTGCGGTATCGCCAACAACACGGTGGTCTCCCGACAGTGAGTGGTCTGGTCGAGACCACCATGGCGGACAGCACTAGCGATGGTGTTGGGCCTTCCAGTGGCCTGGCACCAGAAGGGGCAGGGTGGGGGAGCTTTTCGTTTGAAGAGGCGCGACAACAAGCGAGAGCTTCGTCTTCAGCCATGTTGCGGCATGTTCTTCGGCCGAGAGATCTTGTTCTCCTCATCAACAGCCACGTAGGAGCCTTGTCGAGGTGCTTCAGCCGAAGACCAGCGGACTGCGCCGTAGGCCTTCCACATTTCACCAGGTATAGAATAATCAGATGTCTTCATCGATTTTTCAACAGATCGGCATTCACCCCACCCCGCCCCCCCCGGTTTTGCCATCGGGATTGGGTTTTCGTTGTAAAACAAGCCAATTCACTTCGTGAACTCGGCAACCATGTTACCGTTTTTTTTTTACCTTTTTTTTTTTTTTTTTTTTGGCGGTAACCATAATGGTGGTCGAGTAGATCATGTTGTGCGGGGTGGAGAACACTCGCTCCGCGCAAGGGGGATGATCGCACCACGTTGTGTTAAAATGGTCAAGCACCCTCGAGGCAGTTACACAGTGCTTACAACTGTCTCTGGAAGTGAAAGCACCAGAAAGTAAATTAATTCATACGCAGCTGTCATCCGTACGCAAGGAAGTAAGCACAAGATGCCGAAAACCCTTGGCAGGATGCAGCTCACCGTTCATGCGACTCGTCGAATATCTCACGGCGCTTCGCGTTTGGTGATGTGAGAGCCTGGTCCGGTGAGAACCCGGCATGCTCCGTCCCGGCTTTGTAGGGATGCGAGGTCAATGGTCTAACGACTACGGCATGCACGACTATGAGTACACCCCCCCCCCCCCCCCACCAATGTACGGGCAGATCAGCGCTCGCAGCAACAGGTGTTGCATGCTGCTGTTTGATGTTGGCGCCCTCTTTCACTACTTCTGAGCATACAAGACTTGAAGAAAGGGTGGCTACTACCATGGGAGTATATATAGATATGCGGAAGTATTGCTACCTTTTCCTTTCCTCTCGGTATCTCTTACCCTCAGCGAAACGCGTGTGGGGCTTAGGCGCGAGGTAGGTATTCCTTGAGACAGGGCCGGGTAATTTACACGCACCGTCGTTCACCTCTAAGCACTTGAATGGCACCATGCCTGCCTCGAGAGGAGGTTGATCAGCAAGGGTGATTTTGTCATCAAGTGTGTTACTTTTTTTGCAAAAATGCTATGTGCAGCGGATTAGAAGCGAGGACTGTTTCTTTTGTTCGCTGTGGACCAGTGTGGTTTATCTTTCTCTTGTCTTCCTTACGCGGTTCGAATTGTTGTTGGGGTCACCTTGTTGATGCTCTGTCGACTTCTGGGCCCCTAAGATCGATGCACTCATCAGACACCAGTATCTCTGCTGCTCGCCCTGCGACCAAGACGTGTGCTCAATCAACCTGCCGTCGCCGTTGGTATGGTGATTCGGTCTCCGATCGCTTTGAACTTGTCAATCTACTCCATTCGCATGCATGCCTCAAGTCGAAACGAAACGATTGGGTTGTACTATACAGACGGCTGTAGTTGTACGCATACTTTGCTCACACACTCTTGTAGCTGGACGTCGAAGAAATCGTGCCAAAGAACACAGCAGTTGTGCATGTAAAATATTGTGCAATTCAATGGACATCAATGACAAGATATGAGCTGACCAAACATTGGAACGTGTTCATGCGACACAAAGTACCATGTTTTCAGCGTTGAATTTGAAGTCGAATGTTCTCATTAGATACACGCCGTTCAGCAACCCAGCGCTACTTAGTTTCACCGACGCTGGTAATCCGTGTCAAACCATCTATCTGCATTCTTCAAGGCACCGGCAATTCTAAAAAAGGCACTAGTGAGAGCTCCGGACCGAACCAGATGCCTGTACCATCCCAGCACAAAGAAGTTGTTAGGCCCCCCAGAGGTAGACATTTCAATACAGCTACCCACTCTCGGTTGGGTGAGAACACACCTGTACCTAGGATGTGCAGCGGCATTGGTTATGAACGTCGCGCGAATGCGATGTTGGATTTTATGCTTGCCAGAACGGAGAAGGATGTGGTTGTCCTGGAAATGGGGTCAGCCGCTGCTTGCTTGCTACTTCTGGCGGAACGGTGCAACGTGGATCTGGGCCTCTCCGTCGACCTCAAGGTCAAGCTCAATGCCAAGAAATACCCTGCAGTTCTTGTCAGGTACAAGAACGAACCAGAGATGTTTCATGTCCATATTCGACGAAGATGGATGATCAATTATTGCTCCATGCAACATCCGGCATCGGCGATCAGGTGCTCCATGTGCATGCGTTGGTTACACGCGGAACATGCAGCGTTCTTTTTTGACGAGAAGCATTCTCACTCAATCCGCAGGGGCTCGGCATTGAAGTACGACGCGTACAAGACGACGACAGGATTCGCTAAAGGTTCGAGACAGGTGCGTATATTTGAACATGTTAGCTTGTGGATTTTGTTGATCGGCAGTTTTGTATCCTTTCTCGAAAGAGGTGTTGCTGACTGCTATCGGAAATATGTGTCCCTATTTGTTCTTCAGTTGGTGCGTGCTCTCGGCGCAGTGTGTCGCTGAAGTATTGACTGCATACGCTGCAGCTTGGTGGTACCAAACATTCCAACATAGCAGGTTGCTGTTCCTGTCAGTCCTCTCCCATGCTCTGTATTCCTGTTGACCACTTTCGGGGCAACACGAATCTGGACGACTTTGCCGACCATCTTGCTCGTGAGTGGTACGTCGGGTGACGCTTGGCGAAGGATCTACACCGCTGAGTTTCTATCCCTTCGCTGTGTTTCTTGCTGTTCTGTTCGTTGTGGTAGGATATGACTGAAGGGGATGGTGGAGACGACCACCTGTCGGGGTGCAATGGTCGGGCCTGGCGTCCATTCAGCCTCCAGGATCTGAGAGTTCAACTACAGAACTTTTGCACCGAAAGGTGCGTGTGGACTTGGAAGTTACTCTTTGTGCCGCGTGAGGACAAGGTGTACCGTGCACGTTCGGTGCTTTGTTGTTCCCCCCGCTCTCCCGTCCCGGCGCCTGAATCACCAAACTATCATCGAGGCATGCGTTGTGTCTTGACGTGGGATTGGTCCTCCTGCTTCTTGCAGATGGTCCTCTCGCGTTCTTCAGAATGGGATAGAAGGGCGCTCCTCCCCTTGACTCGCTTCGTTTTTAACCCATACACTGAACTCCGTAGGTTTATCAGATAAGTCGCTTGGATGGGGCGAGACTCCAGCCCGTGATCGGGCGTCAACTCATATTTCGAGTATTCCGAGCCTTTTGTTCGGGCGAGTTGGTAGGGAGCTGAATGTAGGACTTTCGTCGAAGTATGTGTGCGAGCATGTGTAAGTACATCATGGCAGCAAATGGATAGGGGTTGCTGTACTGTTTCGGCTCCCTGGAGAACCTTTTGGTTGCATTCAATGTCCTAAAATCTGCACCTACCTGCAGCCTGCCAGGCTCATGAACATTGTGTTACTTTGGCTGACAGGAATTGGCAGAAGTTCCACACTCCGCGAAACATCTGTTTAGCATTAATGGGAGAGGCGGGAGAATTGTCGGAGCTGTTCCAGTTTAAGGACGAAGACACTTGCTGCCAAGGCTTGCCTTCGTGGAGTCGGGATGATCGCGACAAACTCTCACAGGTGTGATGAAGGGTTTTATTCAGTGACATGAAGATTTCCCTCATTTCTCCAGGAGAAGAGACAACCGACCGATTCAAATTGTTGTTCATGGAACAAACACGGAGATGGCCTTTGCACGTCTTTCCCTCTGCTCGTAAATTGTGTTTTTCCAGGAAATGGCGGATGTTTTCATCTATGTCACTCGTCTCGCTGATTTGTGTGGCGTTGATCTATGTGCGGTGCTCCAGGACGACCCACTGAGCCGCTCTCACAGGTGAGCCGAGTAGTCGACGCTTGGCCATCATATCTCACGCGCTGCTTGTGCCAACCAACCAGGACAGTCAGCAACCAGGACAGCATTGTACACTATCGGACGGCGACGGCAGTGTTGCACTTGCGGCACCAGACCGTACAGATTGAACACTTTCGAGGTCGATTCGAAGACGAGAGTTGTTTGTTTCACGTGCACGGCCTAGCACGCGCTTGACCTCAGCCGTTTCTGTCTTCGTCTTCTGCCTCCCCGCTCTCTCCTCCCTGCTGGAACAAGCATGCACAGAGCGCCTTCGACGAACTACCGGGAGGAATTGTGTGCGAACAACCGCCGGTGGGGGCTGGCCACATGCGTGCTCGTGGGGCTGACAGTCTTGCTAACTACCACGAACAAGCGGTTGCGCTAGTGCACGACACCTATACCGGCCATGCCGAAGAAATATGAACCCACTGGTCCGCCCAAGAGCATGAGGAACAAATACGCTTCGTCCCTGTCCTGCCGCTGTGCGGTTTCCACGGACAATATGTATTTGTTCATGTCAATAGTGCACTTTTTCATGTGTTCGCACAAAATTGGTTGTATTCTGCACCCGAACATGTCTTGTGTGACGATGCATACCGACATGGTTGTACGGTAGCTGTTGCGTTAAGGAGGATTGAGCTAGCCTTGATTTAGCATGTTGTTTCTAGTGCGGCGTCAGACGTCGAAGAAATGGTAGTGCGGGGGGCGCCTTTAGCAACGACTGCTTATCCGTTGGGAGGTACGAAGCCGTGTCGGCTTGTTTGACTTACGTCTTGATGCCGATGTTGTGGTATTCACGTAATACATTACACGTGTTGAGATGTTGGGTTGGAAACATGCTAGCTTTGTTGTCCGACTGGCAAGTTTCTCCTGTCCTACTGTAGTACCAAAATAGCTGGCGCCGCACGTCATTAAATTTGTAGAGCCGGTGATTCACATTTGTTCTCTACCTCTAAAAATACCAGGGCGTTACGTAGCGAAGCAGCCGCCCTGTGGGGTGGGAATGGTAAGAAAAGCCCGCCGCAGGCGGAAAAGTTTTTGGGCTTGCCATCAGCTTTGATGGGGTGGGATCTCATTTTCTCGGATGGGAATGCGATGAGATGGGAAAGGGATTGTGCTTCACGCTGATGGTATGGGATGGTATTGGCTAATCCTTGTTGCTGGGATGGGATGATGGGAACATACCAAGTTTTCGCTGGTCATGGTGATGGTTTATTGATTGTTTTGATGTTTGTCGGGTTTGCCACCTCTCCTGTTCATCATGGCGAGGAGACAGCAAAGCACAGCATTCACCTCGTTGCCAAGGAGGCTCCTCATCTCCTCTTGGCATACGTCATGTAGGCCTGATAAATACCAAACCCTTTTCATTCGAAATGCTACGCCAAAACAAAAGAACATACACACGTAAACATTACGGGCTGCTATTTCTCAAATACACCTTACGTGGATCGGATGTTTCCCTGCTACTTGCACGCAGAGATGCACTTGGTATTCAACCCAACTACACAATTAATTACAGAACCTGCCGAGGCATTCTGGGTTGCAACTAACTGCTGCATCAGCGCTGGCATCGCATTTGGTCCTTCTTGAACCCGGGAATGAGCTGCCTGTTCAGCCGGAACAGCAACATCATCTCGATCTTGTGGGGGAAAATACCGGCGCGCATGTCACTCAGGACGAGTTTAGCGCGGATGGTGCCATGTTGGGTGGGAGTGGCTGGAATGGGAAAGCCATTGTGATGGGAGTGAGTGTGGATGGGATGGGAGCGACGTGGGAAATTTTAGATGGGATGGGATGGTACTCTGAATCCGATGGGATGGTGATAGGATGGTAAACGTGATGGGATACAAAATCTCTGACCATACCACTACCTTCCCATTACCATGACATTACCATCAAGTTTACCATCCCATCTACTCCGATCCACGTATAGCCCTGAAAAATACGAAGTAACAGACAAACAATGATGGGTTGGTTCGCGTACAATGCAGCTTTGCTGTAAACAGGAAAATAGCAAGCACCGAGGCTCCTGGGGGCATCGCATCGATTTGTCTTCATCTTGCCCCAAGGTAGTACTTGAAGTTGCGCGATAATATTTCCCGCCTTGACCATTTTAGGTATAGTCTAGACTAATATTTTGTGACACAACAGCGAAATGGTTCTGTTTCTCTAAGATAATAGACCATACAAGTGAGTCTTCGTCTGGGTCTTCTCTTCAGGGATTTCTTGATTATACGGACGCGTGTACACCTCACAACCCACACACCCACACCCTACCCACAACCTTTTATTTTCTGGAAAGACTGTAACCCAACGAACCCATCTCTGTTGTACAGAAAAGAGTCTGGGATATGTACTGCTGCTGTATATGTGTCGCAGATTAGATATTGTCTACTCCCTCTGTCCGAGAATATAAGCAAGGTTTGGAAATCCGGGAATATAAGCAAGGTTTGAAGAATATTGACGGAAACGTGCCATTTGGGCACGGTGGACGTCGGACAACTTTGGCAAACGATCACATATGACATTGGAGAGAGAAAAAAAAAAATCCGCTCGATGGGGGGGGGATGGTGCGTTACCATCCCCTGGTCCGGGAAAAGGCGGAATTTTGGCATACCCAGCCGAACCCCGTCTTCGCTGTCGGCGAGAAGGTAGCGTACCACCTCTTCTCTCTCCGAAACGTTGAAATTCTTGCGTTTGAGCCCCTGGGAGGCACTCCCAGCAGCAGACATGTCCCGCCAGCAGACGGGAAGGCGTTTGACCGGGGCTCCAAAGTTGGGGTGGTGAAATCGGGCGTGTTGTGCTGGGGTGCAACACACTTTGTTGAGGTGGTGTGAAAAGAGCAGCGGTTCTGCGCGCTGCGCGCCAGTGCGGCGGAACCAGAAAAAAAAACCGTTCGGAAAAAGAGTTCGGCAGACACGAGTTCTATTGCTTTTTGTCCAAACCTTGCTTATATTCTCGGACAGAGGGAGTACAATTGTAGGAAGGAGCATCCGAGAAAGCTACCTGTGTTTCCACGGTTTCCCGAGCAGCACACAGCGATATCTCCCCTGTGCGTAACAGGCTCAACAGGACAGTTTGGTGGCCGTCTTGTGCATCTATCTGTATGTTTTGCTGGGAAGGTGCAGAAGGAAGGTGTCGGTAGTTGGTTCGTGGGGTATGCTATCCGTGGGACCCTTTATTATTTTTTTATTATCACTCGGAATAATTCTTCAGACAGTGACGCAGAGCAACATCGACATGACAGTCCAGTCCCGTCGATGAGGTGTTTGAGGTTTGAGGAACAACATGCGTTGGTGGGGGTTGGAGAAGTTGCCATCATTCACGCATTCATCCCATCTGGCGCGATGACAGCCCTGCTGCCCCCCCTGATCCTAACCTTCCTTTTCATCTATCGAGCTGCTGCTTTTGTCCCCAGTACGTCAACGAAACACTGCTTAGGCCGTGGAGGACTACCGTTGCGCTCCTCCCGTAGCAGCAGCAGCAGCAGCAGCAGCAGCAGCAGCAGCAGCAGCAGCAGCAGCAGCAGCAGCAGCGACAAGACGCCCTCTTGGCGTCTAGAAATAGACGACCTTGTGAAAGCAGCGTCGCCATGGGGTAGTCTCGTGGAGACTGAAATCATCGCAACACATCTACTGAAGGTAGGTGTTTATATTATTTTTGTTTATGCTAGTGGTGGACATGGTCTTCCTTGTGTCCTCTGCAACGCGTTCGTGCCATCGACGGTGCACAGGCGTCCAGGCAGTGACTACCGAGTACTAAGCAGTTTGCATTTTTAGAGCGGTCGCCCGTTCGAGTACCAGATAGTAGAGGATGTTTTCACGCCTTGCCAACGCAACCGGCGTCTGGTTAGCGTCGCAGATGCTGATATGCAGCAGCCGCCAGCCCCCCCAGATGGATCGGAGTGACGGAAATATGATTATGGAGTCCAAATCTTGCCTCAAAATCTTGGCAAGATTTGGAATGAAACCAAAGAGCCCCCTTTTGCCCAAATATTTCGCCAAGATTTGGGCGCTGGCAGCCTTGTCAAAATCTTGCCGAGAGTGGGGGGGTCAATAGCGCCGCACCGTCCCAGACCGTCCACATAATCAGCGAGTGCGACCTGAGTTCTTGACGTATCGCTCCCATCAAGGGCTCCGACGAACCCTATGGTGAAGGGTTTGCTGTTCTGCTCGCTGGTTGTTGGTTGTCGGTTGGGACACGAGCGTAAAAAAATCATTTCGCATCACACCAAACGTGGAGACTCCCAAACGTCACGAGAGGGCAAAAAAGCCGAAAAAAGCCCGCGTTCTGACAGGCGCGACAACAGCGCAATTGATTTCTCGCTCCCTAGCCCACCGAGCCCACCGATTGACGCCAAACCGGTCAGGGTGTGCTCTCCGTTCCTTGTTCTCTCTCGGAGTGGCGTGGCTCAGGAGCTCGCAACCTCAATCGACGGAAATCGTTGTCTGCGTGTGCGCATGCCATCCGTTGAAAAAAGTTTTCAGGTGTTCAACAAGTCAGTCTATTCGCAAGTGAATAACAAGGGCGAAAAAATCAGTTCGAAAAAGCAAAGTGACGCCACGCACAATTCTCTCTCCATCGATTGAGCTTGCGAGCTCCTGAGCCACGCCACTCCGAGAGAGAGCAAGGAACGTAGAGCATACCCTGACCGGTTTGGCGTCAATCGGTGGCCTAGGGAGCGAGAATTCAATTGCGCTGTTGTCGCGCCTCTGTCAGAACGCGGCTTTTTTTCGGCTTTTTTGCCCTCTCGTGACGTTTGGGAGTCTCCACGTTTGGTGTGATGCGAAATGATTTTTTTACGCTCGTGTCCCGACCGACAACCAACAACCAACGTGTGGAACAGCAAACCCTTCACCATAGGGTTCGTCGGAGCCCTTGATGGGAGCGATACGTCAAGAACTCAGGTCGTATTCGCTGATTTTGTCTATCGAGGTGTCCACAACCCCCAAGTAAGATCAAGATACTGTTTTCCATACACACGTACATGCAATAGTCTTGATCTTGGGGGGGGGTCCCTTTTATCTTGCCAAGGTTTTGAAGAATCAAGATCAAGATTTGTTTGCCATAAACAGCAGTGGTCTGAGTGAAAGTGAGTCGGACAAATCTCTGAGGGTGGTCAAGAGGCGACTTTTCATGTACCACGATCTTACGCAACACCAACAAACGCTTACGGCAGAACGCGTTGACACCACCCAGTGGGTGCGGTATATCAACAGCAGGAACAGTACTCCATCTCGTTTGGTGTGATGCGTGTGATCATTGGTCAAACGCCACGGGGCAACCAACCAACTGGGAACCCCTTCCCCTGCGCCATGCCGCCCTTTCGCTTCCACACTACGTGGCGTGCATCAGCGCCTGCCGGAGATCGCGCGAGACGTTTCTGATGCAGCCCGAAAAAATGAGCTTGTTTCTGGAATAGTGCTCGGCAAGGGGACTGAGGCGCGATCGACTGTCGATGGCCTGAAAGCGGTAAACCGGCAACTTCGCCAGGATATCCTTCCAAAGGTCTGTGCGTTTCTTGTGAATTGGTGTGCTTCATGCCTCATCCTTTTCCCGTTGAAAAGCATTCCACGATACAAGTATTAGTGCGAATCAAACCGAGCTCGCGGTGGCTTTGACGAAGGGATAGTCCACTATTATTACTTGGAAAAGTAGTTGATATTCACCCGCTGTTCACACTCGAAAGGGATCGAGGAACGCCCGTTCACGGTCAGCGCCGCCGGCCAGACGTACAAGCAGACAGATCGGTTTGTGTACCTCGGACGTACCATCTCCGCGGACGGGAAGGCCGACCGGGAGATCACGAGCCGCAGCTGCCGAGCGTGGAAGTGCTACCGCCGGAACAGTGCTTCGATGTACGACAGGCGACGGGCCAACCGCCAGCTCAAGATCCGGCTTCTCCAGGCTGAAGTGGTGGAGACTCTCCTGTATGGGTGCGCCTCGTGGAGCCTAACAGCGGAGCACTACACGAAGCTCAATGGGACCCACCGTCAGTTCCTCACACGGTGCATCGGCTGGAGCAAGCGGAAACGCTCAGACCGCCCCCTGTCCTATGCCCAGGCCCTCATCCAGGCAGGCTGCGAGGAAACCATCGAGGCCACCGTGCGCAAACGGAGACTGTGTTTCGCGGGCTTCGTTATGCGCATGGAGGACAGCCGCCTCCCCAAGCACATGCTGTTAGGAGCGATGGCGGGGGGCGTGGGATACCGGGGCGGGCAGGAGAGCGACTGGGTGTCTCGTCTAGGAGAGGACCTCGTGGCCTTCAACATGGGAGACGAAAAGGAAGGGGGGAAATGGAAAGAGAGCGCCAAGGACCCGGAGGTGTGGTACAACAAGGTCGAGGACGTGGCGACATGGTTCATGAGGAAATGGCACAGGCAGGAGGCGGAAACGTCCGCGAAGCACCAGCGCGCGAGGGAAGCAGAAGCAGAGAGTACGGTCATCTCAGGACCGAAGAGAAAGAGAGGCGGGGAAGCGGCGGTGGGGGGGAAGAAACGGCGACCGGGTACTAATGTAGAAGCGAGTAGGGCGGCCGAGGCAGCACTTGTGGCGAACTATGTACCCGGCTGATGTTGTTGCGCCCTGTTTCCCTCCCTGCTGTATGCTATACTCCTTTATGTATGTCCTTTTTATTGCCTTCGGCCTCTGTGCTGTTTCTTTTTTTCATGACCTCCCTGCCTACTCTGCTGTGTTGGGTACCTTGATCTCGCTTTGCTGTTGCCATTGTTTTTGTACGTCTGGCTGTCTGCCCATCTGCCGCCTCTTTGTCCTGTTTGCTCTGTTACTCCCATGCCCTGGTGCGTAGTGCCTGGTGCTGGTACGTTATTCTTTGATTTTTTCTTTGGGCGGGTGTGGGAAACGTCCTCCTTTATTTTTTTGTCTTTTTTTGATCGGTTTCCGAGGGCTCTTTTCTGGACCGGTCGGCGTGGTAGCTGTTCTTTTCTTTCTATCATTTTGTTTTCTTTTTCCGAGTGGTTTGTACCCTATTTTTGTTTTGTTTCCCCGCGGCGTCGTATGTGCCGGGTTTTGAGACCNTGATTTTTTCTTTGGGCGGGTGTGGGAAACGTCCTCCTTTATTTTTTTGTCTTTTTTTGATCGGTTTCCGAGGGCTCTTTTCTGGACCGGTCGGCGTGGTAGCTGTTCTTTTCTTTCTATCATTTTGTTTTCTTTTTCCGAGTGGTTTGTACCCTATTTTTGTTTTGTTTCCCCGCGGCGTCGTATGTGCCGGGTGTTGAGACCACGGGCTACCCATTTTTCGTGGACGAAAGAGCTAATGTGCGAAACAACAACAACAACAACAACAACTCGCCCGACCCCGGTGCCACTCCTTGTTATTTTTTGGCATGATGACAGGCTTTGGAGGCCGCCCCTCGCATCGCGAGTGCTGTGCCCCGGCCGGGTACTAACACGACTGGCTCATCGACTACCCCCAAGCGGCGGACTGGGCCCATGGAAGGAGTCGCGGAGAACCTATACTCAATCAAAAACACAGCCCGTGAGCTCACACCACAGAAGTTGCGCCAGGGGCTGCAAACTGCGGCGGCAGAAACTGAGAACATTTTCAGCAGGTGCAACCTTCTTCTCGGTGGCTTTTAAACGTACCTATGCTGGCTGCGCGAGGGTTCATGTGTCCGTTGAACGACACTTTCGTGGACGAAGAGTGCTTTCCCGAAGCTTTCGATGCGAAGGGTCCACCGAAAGACGTTGATCGCACTTGTGCTACTTATTTTTATTGCTTGTCCCGCACATTGCGTACGCGCGCTACATGATATCCTTGACTTGTCTTGCTTCGTGTTTCGTTTCTGCACCTCGCGGCCGAACTCTCTTCACTTGTGTGGAACGGCTAGCCGCAGTGAATATACACCTCGGACGCAATAGCGAGGGATATTCTGTTAGCGCCTAGTACGTAGTATACTTCCACGAGCAGCCCCTGCCTGCGTCTTTCGAATGAGACAGTGTGCACGAGTGTTTTTATATAACTTCGCATGGTATTGTGGTTCGATGCAGGACGCCATCCGGGCTGTACAGCCCCAGTTACTCGCTTGAAGACGCGAGGGAAGGCTTCGAGATCCGACGCTACGCATCTTACGCTGTGTGCTCTGCGCAGATGGACAGTGAGTCTTGGGGCATTTTCCAAAGTTTCCCAGAACATGCACGGAGCGTGGCCGACCGACAGGCTTCGCCGGGAATTTTTTGTCCATGCTTTTCGACACAAGTATTCGTCTTCTTGTCAGTTGCATGGATGCGAACGGCTTTCCCAAGGCATGTCAACGGCTTGATCTCTTCGAACTGGCGTGGGTTACTACTGTTTGACGGTTCCAAGCAGTGTTGCTAAGCAAGACCCTCGTTGGCACCGCTTCCGTGTGTGCTGCTGCTTCGTGAACAATTACAAGCTGACACGGCTCGAGAGTCTGACCAGCGGGACGATGACAAAACCGGCGTTACTGACGGGTCTGGCGAAGGGTTCAACACCCTGGCTGGTTATTTGTTCGGAGACAATAAACAGGAGGTGGCCATGGACATGACCACACCCGTCAACATCGACGTTACAAGTACCGGCAGGTGTGTGGCGTAGATAGGGCCTTATTCCAGCGCGTATGGGCACATGAGCTGTGCTCCTTTTTCATGGACCAGCAACGGTCAATTGCATATTGGGTGCCCCACTGCCGATCCTTCCCAAAAAGGATACGTTGTTTGTTCCTGTTTCTTCGAAAAAAGCTTGCTTTGGACCTATTTCGGCGCCTGTATGCTCCACAACCCACCACATGCGCAGTCTCCGAACGAGTGCACGGTTGAATCCAAGGGGCATGATGCCCCGTGCCTAACGATCCTCCCGCGTGGTGCAGAACCATGTCGTTCGTGATGCCGAAAGACGTCCCGGCGGAAGTGGCTCCTACTCCACGGAACCCCCGCGTAAACGTGAGGGATGTGGCTGAGGGCGAGCTTCTTGCTGTGCGCGAGTTTCCAGGTATATGACGTTGAGCTCACAAGTGTGACCGGGATTAGTCTGACAGAAATGTGCCGAACCGCTCCCGTCTCTCGCTGGTGGTTCTAGCTTGCCCTCCTTATATTCTTCGAGCGAGAGTGTGCCAGAAAAAATCGAGCACGCTAAATTTGTTCCGTGTCGATTTAGTGAAGAATTGCCCCCTACGCGGTTTATGTTTTCATGGTGCCGTGCACGTCACCGGGAAACAACGCCCGCAAAACGCCCGTATGCACGACCGCCTTCGTTGCCAACAGTATTTTTTCTTGTCATGAACCGCACGCCTGTGTACTAAAACAGGGTTCGCAACCGATGGTGAAGTAGCGAGGCAACTCGATACCCTGCTGGGGGCCCTGCAACTCGAGGCATCAACATCGGCGTCTCCTTGGTGTGCACAAGACCCAGTTGGAAAGTCGTACCGTTTGATGCAGTACAACCCCCCGTATACGCTCCCTTGGCAGCGAACCAATGCCATTGCCGTTCAGGTGTACAAGGGGGTACCCGGAGACAGTGCTGACACAGAGAATGCGAAGGGCAATGCCGAGCGTGAACAGGTGTCCTCGACTATGTCGCAATCTTTTGGTAGCGCTTAGTCGTCCATCTTTCCTGAACGCTCTCTGTAAGTACAACTGCGGCGATGCCCAATTGGGCGAAGAGGGCTAAGTGTTTTTTTCCTTCCACCGTACGCCCTTTATTCGTTGCATCGTATTGGGGCGCTGCGCACGGTTGCTGTGGTCGGTTGTGCTGTTGTAAATACTGGTTGGACGTACACAGCGTGCTGGTCGTTGGAAATGGTTTCGCTCGTGTGATTCGGGTTCGTTATCAGAAGATCAGAAGCTTGGTGTCTTTCATGGGTGTAGGTATATGCATTCGGAGCATGACAAGCACAAGTCCCAATTTCTCGCTTCAAGCCTTTCTGTGTGTCTGATGCGGGCGACCTCGGAATTCCCATGACGATTGCTCGAGCCCGTCAAATCAAAAATTGACTTGCGCATGATCAGGCTGAGCCTGGCCATGAATTCCCCCATCCTTTTGACACAAAGAAATCAAGAATATCTCACAAATCGCTTGGACCCCTACTCCCCTCCATCCTCGTGGCGGACTTAGTTCTTGTCGGTGCCACGAAGGCCTACATTTTCGCAGTGATATATCCTGTCATTTCTGCGCCTACCTTCACTGCTCTCCACTCCAAAGCAGACGGTATCTTGCACCGCGCTCGCAGCTACTGTTGCTGGGTGAAAATGAAATCGCACGATAACACTCCGATCCTATCCAGTGACCGCGTAGATGCTCTTGGCCACATATTCTACGTTGGCCGTTGTGATGCCGGCCATGGAGATCCGACCGTCGTTGGTGAAGTAAATGTGCGAATCCTCGCGTACCTTGAGCACCTGGCAGTGACGATACCACAGTTGAAGTCGGCGGAATGTCCGCGTCAAGATCGCCGCAACAAGAAGCGTCTAATGTACCCGATTGAATGCGTGTCAAAAATAAAATGGCAATCCTCGTTTCGCAACAAACGACGCACGAAAGTGGGCTTCTCAAAAACAAATTGCTGGGGGTGGAGCATCAACTAAACAGCGACGGCGCCCTGGTCTCAACATTAAAAATCTACCAGCTGGTAGCGGATGCTGACGTGGTGCTCACCACAAACCACAAGTAGAAAGGGTTGTTCGTGGTTCAGCTGGGCAGGCACGTAACGAGAAACCTGCACTGGTGAGAATACTTGGTGAAGGCTTCGCTGGATTACAAGATGAGTGAGCAACGCCCCGTCAAGCGGCCGCCCTCCAAGGTGCACATGGGCCAGTCTCGCGCACGAATCAAGTGTGAATAAGACTCTATCCAAGGAGCAACGATACAGAATGACGTTTGGATTGAATACTTGTAATCGACAGGAATCCTTGGCATGAAATCAGGCATGCTTAGCATGAAATGAAAACCGGACAAGTGCGCAGCCGACACAAGGGTGGTTAGTTTGCATGTCGCATCTCACCTCCTCCTGCGTAAGACCAGTGTAGCAGAACATGCCGATTTGGTCCGTGATGTGCTCCCATGATCGACCAGACTTGAGTCCCTCTAGGTGCCCCCTGAGCGCCGTTCGCATCGCGATGATTCGGTCTGCCATGGCCTGTGATGCGTCACAGGCATAATCGATTGTTACCGCAGGAATAAGGTGTCAAATTTTTCGCCACCTGATGAAGCCGAGGGCTATGTTGCTCGCAGTTCCAGTTCTTGTGAAGAGAGTACGCCCCGCGCTTCAAAAAACAGCATAATGCGATGCAAGCAAGAGGCACGCTGTATTCGGTATTGCCATTACCCAACAAACAATCTGGCCGTTCGCCACATTCCAGCATCCCGCGGACGCTCGTAGAACCAGGCCAACCTGGAATTGAACAAGACTCCACACGCTGTACAACAACGAAGCCAGATACATAAGGGTGGGCTACGTCAACCTCAACATGGCAACACCGGCCTGGATCAGAACTAAACATTCAGTGAGAACACCACTACACCCGAAGAAGGATTGCGGCTAGAGCAACCAAAACCAGGCGCACACGCAACCCGGAAACAAACCGCACATCAAGACAACAAACACCCTGGCTGCGCCAGCACGTTGAACCGCACCTTGCATTCTCCGGACCATTCCTGGGCAAGGGCCTCGTCACTCAAAATCTCCGCGACTAGACGCGCACCATGCACGGGCGGGTTGGAGTACATGGGACGGATCACAATCTTGATCTGGGATCCTACTCTTTCAGCCTAGCTCGAGCGGACGGCGTAAAATAATCGAAAGCACAGGGCAAAATCGAGGGGGAGGGGTAGGGAGGAGAATATTGAGGCCAGTTCGGCGATGTCTATCCTCTCGACGCCATCTGAAATGTTCGTCCGATTTCGACGAAGGAAGGTGATACACGGCGGGATATTATGGAGTCACCCTGCTACAGTCTCAGCGTCCCCTCCCCGGCCTGCTCCCCGGCCGGGGCCGAAATCGACCTTGTGAGTCCCTCGCTGGCGAACCAGGCCACAACAGATAGTAGGTGGGTGGTGTCCTAAGGTGCAACTCACCGCCGCGCTGGCTCAGCGTGGCGGGTGAGGATGCACAGACGGTGGTAGTGGCGAGAGGTGTATGTGGACCTTGTCCCCGCGGCAGCAATGCAAAGCGGCAAACTGCACCTGGTAACCACCGTCGCGGAAAACGTGGCCCACGAAGCTGGAGGAGCAGAGAGATTCGTAAAAACCACGCGAGTAAGCACCGTTCGCGGGAGAAGGGAGATAACCGCGGGCGACGCGGGGGGGGAGTGCTGCACCCTCCTCGTCCAAACACCACAGGCAAGCACCGAGCCCTGCAAAGATGGATCGATGCGAAGAAACTCGCCGCTCGGATTAAACGGAAGAAA